GAAAGACAAGTTCGTCTTCTCAACAGTCACAAGGGGATGAAGGTCATAAATTTTTTTTTTTTTAAATACGGTTGAGCGTTAATTAAAGTATTTATATGATTATATAAATTGTGACGTGAAATTATTATGATATTTATTGCAGAGTTCAGACCGACAAATATTTTTGGATTTTCATATTGGCAATGTATCCCCTGGCATATGTTGGACTACATAGTGAGTTACCTGAATGTGGAAGCGGATGGTAACTGCGGATTTCGGGTCATCGCGAGTCACATGTATGGTCATCAGAAGTACTGGCCAGATGCAAGAGAAAACATTGCGAAGGAGGTCGAGAACCACCCTGAATTGTACGAGTACATCTATTTTAGAGATATCGAGGACGGACTCCGTCGCATAAGGTGGCCCAAAGGCTCTTGTCCATCGACTCACTGGTTCGAAGTTCCGCAGGACCTCTTTGCCGTTGCGACCCTATTTAATGTGGTTGTCGTTCATTTGAGCTCTGGTCCAAACGGTGGGCAGCACGACTTATTCAGCACCACAGTGTTGCCTCTCACTGCACGATCATCGGCTAGAGGACCATGTCGTGAGATTGCCATTTGCCATCTTGGTCGCTTAGAACACTACATTCGTTTAGATTTGACTGATGATTGTCCATTACCGCCTATTCATGGCATGTGGTTTCGTTACCGAGATCAATCGGTAGTGGGTTGGGAGCATCAGTACCTGTCTAGGTTGCAATTGTGGTACACTGTTCAAACAAAAGGTTCTTGAATAAAAGAACGATATTATTCACTTGTGGTGTGACGCTTCTCATTCAACTTAAGTTTAGAAAAAAAAAAAAAAAAAATCATTCAACTTAATGTTTTACAATAATAAAAAAAAAAAAAAAACATTCATTACATTATTATTGGGCATTGTCGTAATCGAACTTAAACTTAGCCAGCTGTTCTTCGACTTCCGCCGCCTCCGGACAGTCTGGAACAATCTGCTGCAAGGTCGATGTAATGCCCAAAAGACGGTCCACCCACTAAAAAAATGAAAGAATAAAAACATAAGACTTAAATTTGTTTAAAAAAAAATTTTGTAATGAGTTAACATTAATTAAAATTTAGTAACCAACTTACATAGGCGGTATTGACACGCGTTGGGACCTCGTCCTCGTCCGGCAGCTCCTCGCCCATGAGAGTCGGATGGGAAACCCGACTGTACCACTGCAGGTAATCCTCAGTCGCCTCCCCGCGATCCTGTGTGGTCTGGGTCAACATACTTGTGTTGACCGTCCCAGACATCGGGAACTGGGTCCAGAGGGATACTGCACCAGCCTCAGAATGCTCAACCTTGTAGTTCCTAGACTCCCAAGCACGTACTGCACTGATTGGCGGGAATATAGGGGGAGGGACAGTCTGGACATACCCCAGCTGACGCAGACACCGCGAAGGCAAGTACGGCTCGACGACATCGCGGTATCGAATCCATCCGCTATAAAGAGTCCTCGGCTCTATCGCATCTGGGCTGGAGCTGCCGTATGGCAACCATTGCACCTGTTCACAATTGCATAAGAGAATTTATAAAAATAATTATGTTATTTTAAATAACGGGTAACTAAATTTAAATAAAATAAATTCACGTACATCGGAGGCAGTGAGTCTGTCGAGGCGCCGACGGATGGCTGTGAGCCGATCGTCTGACCGTGGCGCATTCCCTACGCCCCACGAGCGTGATCGTGCGAGACAGTCAGGACCGATGGGTAGACGCCCTCGGGGTCGGAAATCGGGGAAATACTCATATATCCAAGACTGTAGAAGAGTCAAGCAGCCCGACATCTGGGCAGAGTCCCCTCGGCTGGCAATACCTAGCTGTCTGTACAAGTATGCCAGCGTAGCCGATCCCCATGAGTAACCCTCAATCAAATCCAAGCCGTCGAGCACCTCGTGCAGGAGCTTGGGGGTCACTCTACTACCACTCTTGTCGACGAACAATGTGGTAGCCAGCATCACCCACAGCCAGGCACCCGCCTCATCCCTAGCCGGCCGGTCTTTCCCCCTGAATGCCCCCGAAATGGCGGCTTCGGACACCGAACCACGCTGCCAGAACGAACTCATGAGTTCGCCCTTGGTGACCGAAAGTATCGACATGCAGAGCCCATGGCAGGCCTCCGAATCCGGGTCCTCAGCGACCACGACTCCCTCCACTGGAACGCCCAAAATGGCCCGGACGTCGTGCAGCATGATGCTCATCTCACCAAAAGGCATGTGAAACGAGTTAGTATCCGGCTGCCATCGCTCCACAAAAGCAGAAAGGAGTGGGGTGTCCAAGTGGGTGTGCATGGAGTCGACCAAATGTGACAGCCCGGTCTGGTCGAGAAGAGCTGTAGCATCGGGAGACATCTCTTCACGCCAAGCCTTCAGATTATCGATCGCTCGCACTCTGTTGTGGCATTTCAGTAGCCCCCTCAAATTCCCACTCCACATGCGGGAGGCGACGTGCCCAAGAAAGCTAGGGATGACACTCCCATCAATGGGCCCACCGGGCACTGGGCCTCTAACGATCCAAGGTGCATCATCATCGGTCCTAGCTCGTTTGCTAGTACCTGCATTGAAATACAACATATCTGTATATATTGACTTGCTGGCAGATGCATTAAATAAAATATATTTAATAAAACATATTTTATTAGTTACGTTACATTTTACATTTTACGTTTTACGTTATTATTATAAGCATATATAATTTATAATTATTAATATTATTTTTTGAATTTATAATTAATTACAATTTATTCAACTTACCCTAAATTACAAAATAATTATACTGTAGTTGACGAGCAGGCCGATAATACTTTTCTAACAGTACCGATAATTTATGTTAAACAACATTAAATAAGTAAATTATTTACCTGATGAGGATGCAGAAGGGACAAAACGCCCCCCAGCCTGCCGTTGAGGAGCAGGCTGTGTGGGACGAACAGCAGGACGAAATGGCTGTACAACCGGCTGTACCGGACGAACTGGCTGTACAGTAGGACGATGGTGGATAGGACCCGTAGGCTGTGCGTGGTCCTGATCATCTAAAGAGTCGTCCGAGTCATAGTCCTCTGGACCCGGCTCCCTCTCGCCGTACGACTCATCATCAGCATACCCCTGCTGACCATAAGGTAATGGTACGCGTGCGCGGGGGGGTAACGACTTCCCTGCGAAGCGGGGAAAAGCAAATCCCGGCTGATCGTACGGTACTGGTGCCGGGGGCATCGTCCTGCCCGCCTGGCCAGGAAAATAGAATCCATGTTCGCCGTACGGGATGGCTCCGTGGGGTCGCGAACTACTTGGCTGGCCCTCAAAATGATATGGACCAGTGGGCACTGGTGCGGGGGGGCGGGAACTCTGGCTCGCCTGACGAAGCTGTACCCTACGAGCCTCATCGATTAACGCCTGCCTTTCCGCGTCCCTCTCCCGACGAACGGACGCATTGACACCCCGAGTTCTAGTGTGTCGGGTGCCAGAACCATCGTAATAATCATCGTACGCCTCGTCGTCGTCCCTGGCATTAGATTGTCCAGGTCTGCCAACACCCTGAATCAGAAATATAATTATTAGATTTTTCCAATGTAATGATTATTCTAATAACTATTCAAATAGATTATAATTCTATTTTCTTTTCATATATAAATTTTATTAATTATTATTATAATTATAATTGTTTTCTTTTCATATAATTATAATTTTTTACTTCAATTATTATAATTAACATTAATTTATAATCATTATTATATTTAATTATAATTATCATTACAAATAATTATTATTATTTCTTATAATAGTATTATTATAAGCATATATAATTTATAATTATTAATATTATTTTTCAAATTTATAATTAATTATAATTATTATAATGATTTATTATTATAATTATGATTTACAAATAATAGTAATTATAATTATTATTATTATTAATTTTTATAATTTATAATATTTATAATTATTATTATTTTTATTATTATTATTTATAATTTATAATTTATAATAATTATAATTTTTTTTTCTTTTTATTTAATATTATAATTTAAAATTTATAATAATTATAATTATTTTTTTATTTATTTATTGTCATTATAAAAAAAAAAAAAAAAAAAAAAAAAAAAAAATTGATTTTTGTCCGGCCGGCTCGCGACCGGCCGGGGTCCGTCCGGCCGTCGGTTCCGGACGGACCAAAAGCCGGCCGGTTCGGCCGACCGGACAACCTTTGGTCCGTCCGGAACCGACGGCCGGACGGACCCGGACCGGCCGGAACCGACGGCCGGCCGGTTCGGCTGTTTCAAAAAATAATTTTTAAAAAATACTTCCGGCCAAAAAAAAAAAAAAAAAAAATTACCTTGTTGGAGAAGAATCCTTTGCCGAGGCCGTAGAATTTTTTCGACATTTTTTTGGATTTTTTTTGACGCTCGAATCGTACGTTGAAGTTCGGAAGTTTAGAGAGATAGAAAGTTTAGAGAGATGAAATCAAAAAAAGGGTTAAGGGCAAAAGAGTAATTGGGGGGCGGTGACTAGTAAAAGGGGGGCGGTGAATAGCGATTGAGTTTAAAAATCTTAATTTGTGGCGAAGATGACGTGCCAAATAATCAAACCAATAATGTTGTATATAGGGAAGTGTTCAATAATATATGATCTTTTCAGTTTAATTATATGTTTATATGTCTATTCTTATGATCATGATCATTGCATTATTACACAATTTATATTCAAAATTGTCTTTTAAAAAGCGTATAGATAATAATATCCCCGTGCATCGCACGGGTGATTACTAGTTTTTAGTTTACATTTTTTTCAATTTACTTCTTCCGAGTTCTTGATTCAAGAATTGTTGTATCCTCCAAATTGGGACCACAATGCACAATTACCACTCTTTACTGCTTTCTACTCTTATCAAAGAGCGAGCTTCAACGAATCAAGCACGCACTTCCGATTATTTTTCTCAACCAAAATAAAAAGTACCGTGAATGATGCATTTCTGTTCAGCATAAGATATATATATTCACAATAAACAGTACAATAAGAATAATAATAATAATAAAATAAATAGAACACTCTTTTGCTATATACTAAGTAGTCTATCCATGGGCACCAACAAAACCTACACAGACAGACAAACACTGGGATATGTAAATAGTTCCTAGCTATTTTGTACACTACAGAAAAACATTACATTACGCAGAAGCTCATTACAGCCAACTACAAACACGCTCTTTAGATAGTTGATATATATATATATATATACACACAGAGTAATATTCATCATTTCATAAAAGCATAAGGTGCTAAGATATATATGTGTGTATGTAATATATTCTCATATCTACATCCCAACAAGCACAGGTCGATGGGTTACTATCTCTTCTCGAGAACTCAAAACCATACCTTTTACTTGGATGCAAAAAAATACCAGATTTGGGGAGCTGAACATCACCAGCAGCACCCATGGCCTACGAACAATCATCTCGCACCAATACCAATTGTAATAAATTTTCCTTCTTTTTTAGTTTTCTTGCTTCGGACTTTGAGGAGGTGGGGGTCCTGCTGGGGTGGGCCCCAGGTATCGGTTCATATAGGCCTTTTGATGCTGTTAGTGAAAACAGAGCAAGCCAAGAAGAAGCCACTTTTTTCCAGGTCAATCGCTGTTTACGGCTCCAAGTGTTGATGTTAAGGATACAGATGAAGGCATCTGCTGAGGTGACATTGTGTACCCTCCTTTAGGAATCACGGCATCAATCGCGGGCGAATAGGGTTTCGTCACTTTCCTTTTCAGCGAGGCCTGACACAAACAAAAGCCAAAGTGAAAATTTAAGGGCGTGCTTGTTTACAAATCAATCCGCTCAAAATGAGTTTTTTTGGTTAACCAGAGTTAATTTTGAAAAATGTGGTATGATTAGTTGTTAGTGGGATTTTGAGTTTATATTAAAATAATATTTAAAATAAAATAATTAAAATTGATTTGATGTAAAAGTAGGAGACAAACGATGTGAAGTGATAGTTAATTAAAACTATGTAGTTGATGAATAGTGAATTAAAGTTGATGCGATGTGTAAGAATGATTTGTTTCTATCATTTAATTATACAAATATATTAAAGATAGTGGGTTGAGTTAAAATTGAATTAGAGTTTGAGTATGGATTCAATGTAAATGTGGTATGATTAGTTGTTAGTGGGATTTTGAGTTTATATTAAAATAATATTTAAAATAAAATAATTAAAATTGATTTGATGTAAAAGTAGGAGACAAACGATGTGAAGTGATAGTTAATTAAAACTATGTAGTTGATGAATAGTGAATTAAAGTTGATGCGATGTGTAAGAATGATTTGTTTCTATCATTTAATTATACAAATATATTAAAGATAGTGGGTTGAGTTAAAATTGAATTAGAGTTTGAGTATGGATTCAATGTGAGTGAAATATTTTGTAAACAAGCACTCCATAAAATGTTTTGTAAGTAATTAATAGTAAAATAGCACGTACAAAAGCCTTCCTCTCAATTTCAGAAAATACACCCTCATTTTTGGTTTTTCCAGTAGCGAACTTAGTGGAAAAGNAAAAAAAAAAAAAAAAAGATCAGAAGCGAAATCTAACCATTGACTGCGTGGGCCCATAACTGGATATCGCTTGTTCGATTGAGGAATAAACCTCAATTGCTTGATTAGAGTCACGTTCACACTTTACAATGCGGATTTGATCCTTCCCGTCCAACAATTTACTGTGCAGATATAGAATGACCCGTGAAGGAGGAGCACTCGGACGATCTTTCTTACCGTGAACGAGTTCCATTGTCACCAAATCGTCCCAAGCGACATCCCATAGCACCGAACACGGGTCTCTGGCAGGATTGAATTTTTTCTGTGCTATGAGATTGGAAGGTTGCTGAAAAAACACGTGTATATATATATATATATATATACACACACACACACATCAATATATATAATGTGGGTTCTGAAAAACAGAGAAAAGTTGAGTTTGTATGTGTATCAGTGTATGTGAGGTAGGAATTTTTATCGACTCACCTGCAACAGTATAACTCGCCGGTGAGTCATGAGAATGATTCTCCCTTTAGGAAGTGCAAAATGGTCTTCGTAAGCGTCTGTCAATGCAAACTTTCCACGTACTTTAAACAAATCAACTAAGAAGGATCCAGATTCCGCTAGTTGCAGAATTGCCTGTGTATAATGGCAAGGGAGGTGTGTAAGATTGATGCTGCCGAGCATGGTATTATCAGCTAGCATAAACAGGTGAAATAAAAAGATTCAAATTAAACAGTAAAAAGATTAGGGCAATAAGGAAATCATATGAGAGCTAGTCATTCGACAACATATTCCTTTTTTTTTTTCTTTAAAGTACTTTGGACTAACTTTAGATCAACTGAAAAAACTGATTGCTTCGGTAGTTGGGCTCATATCCCACTTAAAAGTGTGTGTATTCATCTTTTACAGTCAGTGGATAGGGAGTTTTTTTATTTTTATTTTTATTACTTTTTTATTTTTAATTTTTCACCTCGAGCACTAGAAAGTTGCATAGTCTATAATAATCTGGAGTTGTAAAATCACAGGGAAAGTTGCATAGAGGATGAACAAAGTACCTGTCCTCGTGCTTTGTGCTCATCATATGGCCTAATTAAATTATCACCACTAATAACTCGGGGTAGCCTTCGCCTGAGAAGTTGATCTTCGGAAGCAATGGCAGAAGCTATCTTCATTCTCATTGCGTTTGCACCTTCTGTGGTCTTTGACAGAAGATCTAAAACACCGCTAACTGGTTGTGCAGCAGCACCTATCAATCCCTTTCCAACACCCTGCACAAAGCCCTCAACCCCAGATGCTTTTGCACCCTCGAGAGGCTTAGTTAAAATTCCGGTGACTCCTCGGAATATGCCTTTGGCTAAGGCCCCACCACCCTCTCGAATAACATCACCAAAGTCTTCCACACCTTTGTTATCCTGAAAAGAAGTGGTAAATGTTAATTGAAAGACAAAGTAATGCATTAATAACAAGAATGGATAATGTGTAACATATCCAAGGACCATATCAAGTGTATGAATGCCCAGTCAATGAGAAGATCACAAACAAACATACAGCTAGCAAATAATTAGAAACTAAGCACGCAATTTTTGTATGAATTTCTTGCCCATTAATAAGTCTAAGATTGATTTCAGAACAAATAACTTCAAACCTGTCGTTGACGACTTTGTATGAATTTCTTGTCCATTGATAAGGCAGCAACACCTTTGCTCATGTGTCCAAGTGCACTACTTGCATTGCCCAAAATGTCAACCCCAGAAAGCAGCTGAAGTGGCTGACTGAGAACATCCTTTTTGATATTTGAGATAGCATTATTGACTAGAACACTATGCCTCATTGACACGTGTTCCTGAAATCTCTGATTTATCCTCACCTGATAACATAATGCAAAATCACAACAATTACCATCTCATTAACAACAGTTGTAAGAGTTTTTTAAGGTTCTTTAAAAGTCGGGATCTCAAATAGTAAGACCATCATAATGCAACGATTCGTGCATAAAGATTTTCTTAAACTATCAACAAACTTGCCCAACAGAAATACACCCTAATAATAAAATCAAATTTTCTAAATACGATATCATATAACCCTATATCAAATATTATCTAAATAAGATACTATGGGTGTGATTGTATATGAATTGAACTAGTAAAAATCTAGTTTTTTCTTAACTACAGTTAAGTTTGAAAAAATGTGGTATGGTTAATTGTTAGTGGATATATTAAAATAATATTTAAAATAAAATAATAAAAGTTGATTTGATATAAAAGTAAGAAAAAATGATTGGAAGTGATGGTTAATTAAAATTATGTGAGTGGATTAATAGTGAATTAAAGTTGATTTGATGTGTAAGAATAATTAGTTGATATTATTTAATTATATTAATAATATTGGAGATAGTGGAGTAGAGTTAAAGTTGAGTTAAATTTGAGTTTTGATTAGTTTTTTTACTGTACAATCCATATACAATTGCCCCCTATATAACTCTAATCTATTATTATTTAACCTCGGTTAATAAGATGCCTGCTCTGAGTTCCTGCTCATCTATCGAACCAAAGAGATACTATCTAATAATTATGATATCCATCATAATGCAATTACATCATATCTATATTATGGAAAACTGCAAGATCATGCTTACGGGCATATTTTCAGTATTTCCAAGAGCAGTCATTAAGCTTGCCCAAAATCCAAGGACACCCACTGGCCTTTGGGTTGGGGACATTGCCATGGTGACTTTGAAGCGAATTTCAGAGATATTAAGAACACTGCAAATGCAAAACACCATAATTAACACTAAGAAACAGCACAAATAGATGGATATAAAGGCTGCAGTGTAGATACGTACCCAACTTGAATAATGGGATCCACTGAAACAGAAGTGTTCCTAGTTTCAAAGATTCTGGTAAAATTAGCCTGCTGGATCAGCCCATGAAGGCGCCAGATAATTGGTTCATGAATATTAATTAAGAAGGCTGTGTTTTCAGGTCCCTGACAGAATAATTTACAGTATATTTTAGCATAGAAAATCCAGAAATTTATGCAGCAAAATAAACTTCCTTATACTCACTTGCAACCCTATATATGGATATATGCATAAATCTAGAGATCCACTAGACTGTTGTGTAACAGAAAGCTTCAAAACATGATCAGTGTCCTCCCCAACTCTTTGCGTCCGGAATAAAACTGGCATTGGAGTTAAAGGCAACTGATTATCCACCTGAATTCCCCCCATTCTTATTTTTAACCTGATGTACAAAATTCAGAATTAGCTCCAGTAACAACCAAATGTGGGCAATCAAAATTTTCTATGTAAAGGCTAATGGTCAGAAATATTCTAAAACATAAAAAAAAGAAAAAAAAAAAAAACCCTGGACAGGATATGTGACAAGAACTTACCGACTAAGTCCAGATCCTAGTCCAGTGGAATATGACATCAAAAAGTTCTGCAGGGACAAGTATAATATCTCTTCTGGTGTATGATCAACAATGGACAATCCAAGCTCAGCAACTTCAAGAATGAGATGAAATTCACAATCTGAGCCCAATGTTGTCGGCTGAAGCTGAGACTTATTTTCCGGGATTCGCTGTGCAGATGAAATGCTTCGATTTAACAGTGTTGGTGCTTCATTTCCTGGCATCCAGTCGCTGATCTTAACAACATTTACTCTCTCTTCCTTAATGATTGAGACTTGTATACCTCTCCTGGGTCCTCCAGAAATTTGGATGGGCTGATGATCATTAATCTCATCAATATCATACGTCTGTGATGTCATGGGATCATCTCCATCTACCAAAACTTCCAAAAGTCGTTGTCTACCAACATCTTCCCACGAAAAAGAAGTTGCAGCATTGGGGGGTAGAGGCCTCCAGGAGTCATGAGAACCATTGACTTGCCGAACTTGAATAGGAAGAAAGATAGAACGATTTTCGATCCTGGAAATGTCTTAGTTTTAGAGATAGAAGCAGTGGAGCGCAGAAATAGAAGTTCACATTAATGCTCAAACTAGTTAGAAAAGAAGTTTAAAATATCACCTGTAAGGACTTGAATAGGATTTGGGACGGAATATAACTTCATAGCGTGAGGTCTTCGTCCCACCTCTGACCTCAATAGAAAAGTGTATTTGATCACCTCCAAGCTCACTTCTCAAGAATACGGACATTAGACCTTCACAGGTTACACTGAATGGCGCGCTCCATTGGTACCCTTTCATCCGCAACTTCACCAATGAGACACATTGAGTCAGTAACATATATTTGAAGGACCAAAAATAAATAAAAGGTTTGGTCAATTACTCGGACCTTAAGCAATTCACTTTTTCCAGATTGCCACCCAAAATGTTTAGGAGGTTCTGTAGGATGAAGCCACTCTAGCAAATGAGTATCACATTGCTGGACGCAAATGCTACACCCTGCTCTGTTTACAAACATTGTGTGTGGCTGAAAATGTATGACCTGGACATATAGAGGAATTGCAGTTACAAACTTTGAACAATTTATTGCAAATAAAACAACAAAATATGGAATTCTAAGTCAGAATTATAATGAGTATTTGTACCTTTGTTCTGTCAGAAGTCATGTGCAACACAGCTGATAGTTTGTAGTAAGTTCCATCAGATTGGAATGCCCTCACATCAACTCTTTGCTGAATATTCAAGTAAATAAGTAATTGAGATTTGAGAGTGAGAGAACAAAAGAAGAAAAAAATTAACATAGTTATCATATTTTTTACTGAGGGATTGCTCGGTAAGTTAAAGGGAATGGAATGGCTTTGAAGTATCAGGGAACGGTAAAGAAAGTACTGATTATAGTTATGGTGATTGGTTAGGAATATGGAATCACTATCATTACCATCAATGAAGGTCGGTTTATGAGATATAAAAAAGTATGACAACAATCATC